AAAGGGAGCTCTGGTGGCCTTGTGGTAAGAAGCTTCGCTGCAATCCCAAAGCAGATGAAGATGGTTTGAATCCACTAGATGCTCTGTGGGAGAAGGATGGGCATTCTCCTTCTGTGTGATTATCAGCCTCTGAAAACTTGCTGAAGGGTTAGCTATGGGTCAGTTCTAACTTGAATGCAAAACAGCAGTCCTTTTAAAAAAGGACATCTAACTTAGAAAGGTAGAAGGTCAGAGAAAGAGAAGTAGGCCCTCAGCAAGACAGATTAACAGAGTGACTGTAACCATGGGCTTCAGCATGCCAGATATCCTGAGGACAGTGCAGAATAGGGCAGAGTTCAGATCTACTTTTTTTATACCAGAGCTCCCTCATAGGGTCACTATGAGTCCTATTTACCTATACACCACATAATATCAAAGTAGCAAACACAGTCATTAATTCTAACAGTGAGAATTCATTGCATTCATATCACATTCAAACCACAATCTTAAGGGCTGAGCTAATTATATTTGTAAAATAGCCCTCTGTGGTTTAAAAATAAAAACCTAACAAACCAAAATCATTGCCATCATTTCAACTCATAGCACACCTCCATTGGGCTTCTGAGACAGTAAATCTTTATGGGAGCAGGCTACCTATCTTTATCATGAGAAAGAGCTGTTGTTGTTGTTATGTGCCATCAAGTCACCTGCGACTCATAGCAACCCTATGAAATCTGCCATAACATGAGCCAACCCCATCATCTCCAACAGACCTAATCCCATTTCTCCAGTCACTGAGTCAATCCATCTCATCCTGAGTCTTCCTCTCTTGGGCACTCCTTCCACCCTGCATCCAAACATGATGTTCCTCTCTAATTACTGGTCCCTCCTGGCCATGTGCCCAAAGTATGTGAGACATAGCCTCAAAATCTTTGCCTCCAGGGAGTATCCTGGTTTCACCCTCTCTGGGACAAATCTGTTGTTTTCCTGACAATCCATGGTATGTTCAGCACTCTTCACCAGCACCACAACTCAAAGGCATCTATCCTTCTTCTCTCATTCTTAGTTACTGTCCAGCCCTCAGATGAATAACAAGTCATTGCAAAGACTCTGGCCTGAATCAGGTGCACCTTAGTCTCCAGACTGACATCATTGCAATTCAGTACTCTAGAGAAGTCCCTGACAACAGACTCTCCCAGTGTAGTTTGCCTTTTGATTTCCTGACTGCTGGTGCCAAGAGTATTGATTGTAGAACCAAGCAAGCTGAAGTTTTCAACAACTTCAATTTCTTCTCCATTCATCATGAAGTTGCTGATTGGCCCAGTGGTGAGAATATTTGTTTTTTTGAGGTTGAGCTTCAGTCCATATTGAAGACTACAGTCCTTGACCTTCTGTAGAAATGCCTCCTGTCCTTTTCAGTTTCAGCAAGCAAGGTTTTTTTCATCTGCATAATGCAGACTTTTAATGAGCCTTCTTCCAATCCTGATGCCACAATCCTCCTCATAGAGTCCAGCCTCCTGAATGATCTGTTCTGCATATAGATTGAGAAGATACGGTGATAAGATGCATCCTTGATGTATACCTTTCCTGATCCTGAACCATGCATTGTATCCATGCTCTGTTCACACTACTGCTTCCTTGTCCAATTATAGGTTTTAGATGAGCCCAATTAAGTGTTCTGTGATTCCCATTCTTTTCAAGGTTATGCCAAGAAATCTGGAGGACAACTACCTGGCCAAACTGACTGGAAGAGATCTGTGTTTGTTCCCATTCCAAAAAAAAAAGAGTGAAAATTATCGAACAGTATCACTAATATCATATGAAAGCAAGATCCTGCTGAAGATTATCCAGAAACCAGAACAGTATATTGGCAGAGAACTGCCAGATGTGCAGGCTGGGTTTAGAAGAGGCCATGACATCAGGGACATCATAACCAATGTTAAATGGATCTTGGCTGAAAGTAGAAAGTACCAGAGGAATGTCTATCTGTGTTTCATTGACTATGCAGAAACATTTTATTATGTGGATCACAACAAATTATGGTTAAGCTTGAAAAGAGAAAGGGCTAGTGAGTTGCAAAAGGAGTGGATGCTTTGTGGGGTTGGCTGAGCCTGACTTTTGCCCACTTTTTTTTTCTCTTTTATAGTGAGTCTCGTTTTATTATGGGGGCGGGCAGGCAGGCTCTTCTTGAGCTGAGCATCCACACACTGTACCCTCACAGGGGCAGCTGGCAGACCCCTCTAGCAACATCTCTGGATAGGACGAAGGATGGGGGAGCGGGCAGGGCCTCTCCCAAGGAGCTCCAGAAGAAGAATCAAAACCAGGAGAGACAAAAGCAGCTCTCTTGGCTGGTGGGCCTGGGTGGGCCCCTCATCCTCCTTCCAGTTCTTAGGGCACCAGTGTCTCCTCGTACCCTGTCCCTTTTTTTTTTTTTAATTTCTTTATTTTTCATTTCAATGAACATCTACAGAGATTTTGGAATTACAGTCATTCATTGTTGCATCCCTCTCCCCGCCCCCCCCTTTGCTCCTCTCCTTCAAATACGCAAAAGAAAAACTCCCTCATTGGTACGCAATCCCCCCCCCACATCCCCCAACCCCCAAATATAATCCACTCTGCAACCCTCATTCCGTACTCTTACGATAAATATAATGCCCTAAAATATAAAATATTCTCTCCCCCGAAGACTTCAGTGCCGTAAACATATTTCATCCAGTTTTTCTCAGTCTTACCCCCATCCCTTTATACAGAGTCTCCATGCCAGGCTCTCTGTCAGTCACCTACCTATATCCTCCTGGTTCCCTGCTTCACCCCCCTCAGCTTTAGGTTCACCGTTCACTTCATTGGTTGTGGGGGCACAATCCTTGCTCCTTCTGACTACATCTGCTGGGACCCACCAGCTCCAGGCCCACAGCAGCTAAGACCTCCCTCTGGTCAGTACGGGCGCTCACAAGTACATCTTCATGGCCTCGTGCCGTCGTGGGGCAAGTAACGCGCGTGGAGCTGAGACAGCAGCTCCCGCGACGTGGCCTCGAAGCATGTGCCCAGGCTCTTCTTGTTCCACACGTGGACGGCGTAGGTGGTGCTGAGCAGCCGTTCCAGCTCCTCGGGCCCCACCTCCTCGAAGTACTGCTTCCAGTTCTGCCAGGGGATGGCGTAGAAGGCCTCGCGGGGCAGGGTGGTCACGCCGCGCAGGCCCTGCGCTCACTCAGGCTGCAGATGGCGCACCACTTCCTAAAGACACGCGTGAGCGGCTGCGGGCTCTGATGGCCCCACACCCAGCGGTTGTAGTTCCCCACGAAGTCCCGCATGCACAGCACCTTGAACTCTTGGCCGCGTTTGAAGTCTAGGAAGGCACCGTTGAGCACGTAGCGGGACTGTGCACCCAGCACGTTGCTCAGGTTCCGCAGGCTGCGCAGCACAATTTAGTCTGTGTCCAGGTAGATGCCTCCGAACTTCCAGAGCTGCGCGATGCGGGCGGCATCCGAGAGCAGGGGCCGCAGGTAGGGCTCCCAGTGGCGTGCCCAGGAACAGTGCATGCAAGTCCGGCGCGTACACCTGCACGTTGGGGAAGCAGCCGAGCAACGCCATGCCCACCGACTCCATGGAGCACATGAACAGGAAGTTGGGGAGGGTCTGCTTCGAAGTCTCCAGGACGAAGATGTTGCCAGGTGAGGAGCTGCTAGGGGGCGTCGTGGGGGTCGCCAGCTGAGGGCAGGGGACGTCAGCAGGCAGACTGTACAGTTGACCTTGATTCTTGGGTTCGCCCACCACTTGCCAGTAAATGATGAGGGAGACGAAGCAGGTGAACTTGAAGGCGAAGATGAAAACGGTGCAGACCCTCTGTTTGGGGGTGCCCATGAGCATCAGCAGGCAGTCGAAGGGGATGGACATGGTCTCCCTAGATCACACCAGGATCTTCCAGCGGAATTGGTCAACTTGGGTGGCCCATGGCGTGAAGCTGGATCCAGGAGCCTCCTGGAGAAACACCAGGGCAGCAGCCGGCCTTTGCTGCCCGTTCAGACTCGGGTCTTTAACGTGTTCTGCGCTGGTGAGGATGTCTTTATCAGTCCACCCTCCAATGTTTGGGCAGCTCGTATGCCAGCTTCCTTTCCAGCTCTGAGAATTCACGCAGTGTGAACAAGGCAGAGCTTCAGGAACTGACTGAGGCCTCCACGGTCAGGGGGTGGGATTCGGGGCCAGCAGCCATGCTTCTGCACCTATTTGTACCACTTGGTTCGATATTTGTTATTGACTCACAGACTTTATTCACTTGTGATACCAAGAGTGAGTTTTCTAAAAGAAATAAGTTGGGGAGTGGGAGAGGCAAAGACTGTCTCACAGTGCAAATCCAGGTTCAGTCCAGCAGTGCCAAAACATATTAATAGCAAAACACAATTCCTTAGTTAGTAAAAGTCCTTGTTTCAGTTTAGCAACACAAATTCAAGAAGCGTTTGGTTTCCTCAGTCGTCCAGCAAGGTTTGTCTCATAGCAGTTATAAGTCAGCTTCTCCCTCAAGCACTTGGCAAGCAAAACCTTTAACTGTGGCCAGCACAAAATGCAAGAAGCCTCAGGTTACGCCTTGGCAGAGTCTCTCCATAGTAATGCCACAGTCTCTCCACAATTTTTCCACCACTGTTGTCACCCGAGTCTCATTCTCACCAGGTCTTGCTCTAACCTCCCTCAAATCTTGCCACCCAATATGGGAAGTACTTTCTCTCTTACCTAGTCCCACAGCTCTGGATGATTTGCAAAAATCATGTGTCTGCAGCAGCTGGAGACCCGAGAGGGCTAACGTGTAGCTAGAAAAGCCACCTTTTAAGCTAACACTGCATGAGTTCAAACCACCAGCTTTTCAGTTAGCAGCCTAACATTGTGTCAGCCAGATTCCCATTATTTGTGCTATCTTATATAAGTGAGAAAGCTAAGGGTCAAAGTAATTTTCCCAAAGTATTTCTTGCTAACAGCTTTATATGGGATTCAAATCAGGCAGTGTCTCCAAAGCTAGGTTTATACCCTTTTTTAAAAATAGTGGTAAATACATATATAACCTAACAGATGCTATTTCAACATTCTTAGCATAAACAATGCCATGAAATGAATATGCTTAACACCTTGTGGAATCATCACCATTATCTGTTTCCAAATTTTTCTGTTTCCCTTGGCAGGAGCTTAGTGCTCACCAGAGCAATGGATTCCCCTTAATTCCCCTTCCTCTCCCTCTCCTATTCCTGGTAACTACTAGAAAACGTTGTTCTATATACTTTTGCCTATTTGGGATATTTTATGTAAGTGGAATCATA